AAAACACACCCAGAAACATGACAGCAATTAATTCATATCTACTGATAATCACACTAATGTAAATGGATTAAATGTACCAGTCAAGTGACATACAGAGCAGAATAGAGAAGAAAACAAGATCCTTCAATATGCTGTCAGTAAGAGACATATAAAAAATATGTAGACAGCCTAGATATCCATCAACAGAAAAATGGTCAAACTTCACAGAAAAATGGTCAAACTTCAGTATATACACACAATGGAGTAATACAAAACAGTAAAGAATAACTGAATTTGTGAAACACCTCACAACAATTGAACCTGGAAGATATCTTGCTGAGTGAAATCAGTCAATCACAAAAGGACAAAAATTCTATGAGACCAATGTTGAAAAAAGTTAAGGATTTTTTAATATATATACATATAAAAGAAATAATTTATGATGGTTATGGGGGAACTATTCACCGGCTAGTGGGTACACACATGTAGCGGGTGACAAAGCAGGCAATATACAACAAGAGGGAGGTTAGCAGAGGAAACACAGGGAGGAATGCAATAGTTAAACTGAATAGAGGCAAATACTGTTAACTGTTGGTACATGGAGGGAATTGTAACTGGTCGCGTAGTGGTTACAAATCGCGCTGCAAACCTTTAGGTCAGCAGCTTGAAAATACCAGCTGTTCTGCAGGAGAAAGATGAGGCTTTCTGCTCCCGTAAAGATTTACACCCTTGGAAACCCTGTACAGGGTCATTATGAGTTGGAACTGACTCCATGGCATATCACCACCACCACCAATGAAGCAAAGTATGTGATTTGTTGAATATAAAACTGATGATCTGCTCTGTAAACCATTACTCAATTCACAATATAAAGTTGAAATAAAAAAATAGAGACCCCGAAAGTTGCTCCTGTATATAAAGATGCTAAAGCTACTGGAATAAACGATGAAGTAAAAGAGCTAAACAGAACATTTCAAAGGGAAGTTCAAGAAACAAATGAAGTAAAAGAGCTAAACAGAAAATCTCAAAGGGAAGTTCAAGAAACAAAGTCAAGTATTATAATGAAATGTGCAAAAACCTCAAGTTAGAAAACTAAAAGGGAAGAACATGCTCAGCATTTCTCAAGCTTAAAGAATTGAAGGAATGACGTGGAGCGATGTAGCAGCTGGGGACTTTAGATCCAGAGAGGAAGAGGGACTGTGTGCTGAAGATTGAGGCTGGGGGCGGCTTGCTGGGTATACCCTTTGGTTGGTTGATGATGCATGGAGGGGATTGTAACCATGGCAATGAAACGATATACGAAAGAATAAATGTAAAACTAATGTTCTCCCACGTAAACTATCACATAACTCACAATAAAACATTAGAAAAAAAAAAAAAAGAATTGAAAAAACTTCAACCCACAACTTGCAATATTAAAATATTCAAGACAGCAAAGTCATTTGAACTGCAAGGTCAACCGTTCAAGTTCACCAGTTGCTCCTTGGAAACCCTATGGGTCGGAATTGACTCGATGGTACTTAACAACAACAATGGGCAAAATATTGAATGATGTGGAAAGCATCAAAAGAAGATGGAAAGAATACAGAGTCACTATGCCAAAAATAATTGGTAAATGTTTAACCATTTGAAGAGGTTAGCATATGGTCAAGAACTTATGATATTAAAGGAAGAAGTCTAAGCTGCACTGGAAACAATGGTGAAAAACAAAGCTCCAAGAATTGAGGGAATATATATCAAAATCTTTGAACATACTGATAAACAGCACTGGAGGCACGCACTTGTCTATGCCAAGAAATTTGGAAGACAGCTACCTAACCAATCAATTGGAAGAGATCTAAATCTGTGCCCATTTCAAGGAAAGGTGGCCCAACAGAATGTGAAAATCATTAAACAATATCAATACCACATGCAAGTTAAATTTTGCTAAACACAATTCAAATATTATTGCAGTAGTGTATAGACATGTTGTTGTTGTTAAGTGCCATTGAGTTGTTTCCAAGCCATAGCAACCCTGTATAGGGTCTCCAAGGAGCAGCTGGTGAGCTTGAATTACCAACTTTGCAGTTCAAACTGACTTGGAAGTCCAGTGCATTAACCCACAGTGCCACAACAGGACTCCCATATACACATGAAGCTGCCAAAAATTCGTGCCAGATTCAGAAGCGGACATGGAATGACATTAGATGGATTTCTGCTGAAAGCAAGAAAACAAGGAAGATGTTTACTTGTACTTTACTGACTATGCAAAGAATGTATATTCCATAACACTTAATTGTTCTCATGAGGAACCTGTACATAGACCAAACAGCTGTTGTTTACACAGAACAAAAAGATGCTGAATGGTTTAAAATCTTTGTACATACTGTCAGGAGGGACCAGTACTTGGAAAAGGTTAGGTCAAAGGTAAAGACAAGGGTCAACAAGAGAGGAAGAAGTAGTGGCAACAACAATGAGCTCAAACATAATAACTGTATTCTGTTCTAGTGTCCACAGGGTCACTGTGAGTCAGAACCAACTCCATGGTACCTAAAATAACAACAAACCTTCTCTATGTGAAATGCTAAAAAGTACTTCAGATTGAAATTAGAGGATACTAGAAAGTAACTTGAACACAAAAAGATCTCCAGTCAAGTTAATTTCATGAACTGATCTTATGATATGGGAAAAAAA